ACAAAAAAATTCATGTTTAGTTGGTGATGTAAGAGCACCTCCAATGTTGTTTCTTAAAGAGAAGTTCATAAAATTATTGTATTAAAATAAAAGTAAAACGGTAAATTTTTTTTTACAGGTTTTTTCCAAAATTTTTTAAAGACTCTCTTTTATGGGATTCATCAGGGATGTGTTAAGGTCTCTTTTATGGGATTCATCAGGGATGTGTTAAGGTTTTATTGGTTGGCTTTTTTTTTTCCACCTTCTCTCTTTCTCTCTCTTCTCTCCTCTCTTCCTCTCTTCTTCGATCTTCTCTCCTCTTCCACATTTTCTCTCTTCTTAAAATTTTATTAATTAAAAATTTAGGGGAATCCCATTGAGGATGCCATAATATTGTGATGTAACGGTCGATGTGAACACATATACACACGTGTATAAGATGGTCAACGTCTTGTATAATTATGACGCCAGACGTGGACAATATAAAAAGACACGTGTACGCAATCTGATGGATAACCAACTATTATGGACGGCCGATGATGTAAGCCCAAACCGATATGTTTTATTAAGGCCCATTGAAACAGTAGCATATATTATTTTCTATTCTGATCCATAACTACCCCTGTTCAAAAACTGGGCCGTCTAGCCGCCTAGTCGGTTGTCTAGGCGCTAGACGATGGATGACCACCCCGACTAGGTGCTAGGTAACGTTTCTAAGACCGTCTAAAACCGCCTAAAACCGCTTAAAACCATTTAAAACCGCCTAAAATCGATTAAAAAACAAAATTATCGCCTAATTTTTGAAAATCAACCAAAAAAATCTCAAAAATTTCAAATTGGTCCAACTTTATTAATAAAATTTCTATATTTTTTTCTAAAATCGACCCAAAATCAGTTTAATTGTTTTTCTTTCCCAATTAAAAACGACATCGCATTCAATACTTAACCAATTAATGATTTTGATGACCTAATCCCTAATTAACAATTTCAATTCAACTAAATTACAATGAAATCAAATCAAAATAAAATATAAGCGAGTTCAAGTTCCAAAATCATTTTAAAAAGATTAATATAAATAATTAAAAAATAAATATAATATAAATTAATCAAAAAATTAATCACCGATTAATCAGCGATTAATCATCGATTTTCGATCTAGGCGCTAGTCGAAGCCCGTCCGCGAGCCTACCGCCTAGCAATTTTTTTAGCACTGATAATTACATATAACAATAAAAAAATATCGGTAATAGGCCCCACCTGTTTCTCCGTTGACCCACATTTGCATGACCATCCATCCACTCCGCTGACAAATGAAATAATAAATTATTTCCTTTATCCAAAACAAATGAAATAATTTTTTCACTCTTTTTTGAACATGTAGCAACTAGGACAACACTGATATTCCTTTATTCGTCTTCGATCCGCTATCCAATTTGTACCTGTCTACAAAAAAAAAATTTCGTGATTTTAAAGTCGGGTAAAGAATACTATATTTCTACTATTTATGAGTAAAAGCCTTAAAGGTATTGTAATTTTAGTACTCGTGAATAAAAGTCAGGTAGCAAATATCCAACCTCTAATTACCCTCTTTAATACTATTTTATAAGAGTATTCCACTCTGTTAAACATAGGATTCTGGTGTTTTTTTGTTGCAGCTGTTGATTGAAGACAAGATCAAGACAAGAGGAGTCTTAAGGCCATCTCCAACGGGAGCTCACCAGAGTATTATAAGTGGGCCCTTGTTTTCTTTTTCGATTTAAAAATTAAAAAATAAGCCCAAATTCAGTGATACGTATGAGTAGAGTGAGTCTGATAAACCCGTATGACTCGGATACCACTGGACACGTGACGTTTTTTAATAGGCTTGTGTGCGAAGGAAAAAAAATTCCTGAAACAGAGAATCTCTTTCGTTTTAAAAAATTTTTGCTTCGTTTTCCAATTTTCTTCCTTAATTTTCTCTGTCGATTCTCGCTGGGTATTCAGATTCATGTTTGATAGTCAAATCAGGGTTTCTGAATTCTGTGTATGTTGGTAATTCGGTGATGAGCTTGTACGCTAAGCACCCTGGGTCTTCGAGTGATGAAGTGCTTCAGTTGTTTGATGAAATTCCTCACAGAGATGTGGCTTCGTGGAACAATGTGATTTGGAGTTTGGTGAAAGATGGCATGTCTGATAAAGCTTTCAGTTTGTTTTATGAGATGAACAGAGTCAATGGAGTGAGGGTTGATAGCTTTACCCTCTCAACGCTTTTAAGCTCTTGTACTGATTCCAGTTACTTAATAAGAGGCAGAGAACTTCATGCTCGTGCAATTAGAGCCGGTCTGAAACAAGAGTAGTGTGAATAACACTCTAATTGGGTTTTATGCTAAATGCGGGGATATTAAAAAGATAGTGAATGGAATATGATTTTGGAATATGATTTTGGTAGAATGGAATATCAAACGCTTGGAGGATGTTCTTCAAGCATCTTACTATTGTCAATATAAAGTTATACTTAGCGTACATCCAGCACTGACCCATTACACTTGGCGTACATATGCTTCAGCAGAGATCAGAAGGAAACTTGTCTTCTGACTGCATTCTTTTCATGGTTTATTAGCTTCGGCTTTGAATGTCTTGATCCTCTTTTTTTTTTTTTGACTCTTGGTGAAAATCTGCAAACTCTACACTTTCGTGTCTTTATCCAATTTGAAGTCTATAACAAAGAGGATAAAAGAACTATAGATATGTATTCAAAGCACTACAGGTTCGGTTTATATCATAAGAACTATAGATATGTTTTTTTTGTTGTGATTGTGGGTTGATTCAATCAACTTGTATATGAAATTTTTTCTGATGATCCCCAAAACATGAGTTCAGGGTTGGAGGTTATATTTTGGTTGGAGATGACTACTGTTCAAAAAAAAAAAACTAATATAAAATACCTATAAACCCCAACCATGAGTATCCTGGTTGGAGATGTCCTAAGGCCTCTCGAACCATAGGTTCTATTTGCCAGGTAACTTTGAAATTCCGCTTCAAAACTAGCGATGTGTTTGCAGATGAACACGATGATGTTGATTTGTTGTGTTTGGGGTTTTGTGGTGATACGCACAGCTTTGGAGATATTGCAAGCATATGATATAAAGCTAATAGAGAAAACAGAATGATTTTATTCTGTCTCAAGAACTCTGTATATTGTTTCTTTATAATTTGGATTAAAAGCTAAAGAAGATAGACATTACACACAAAAGCAAAGAATAAAGATAAGAGAGATAAGCCTTAATCTTGTAGATATATGTCTATATGTATGTGTACATAAGAACTCGTATGTTTGTGTACAGTAAGTGATCATATACTATGTATTATGCGTAAACTGGAAAATGGGTAAAAAAAAAAAAACTACAGATGAAAAAAGTGTTCATGGATTTTACTGTACGGTGTTTTCAACATTAAACTACTGCATTTAACAAGTAAAATCATATACTTAATTGTTATTTCCAAGTGTCATTGGTCACCCCAAGTAGCTTTTCCAAGACAAGACTCTTGCCATTTTCCAATTCAATTTCCCGTACGATTGATTAAAAACGAAAAATGTTTTCATCGATAGAATCTTGGGAAGTGTTGATTTGACTATTTTGATCAAATCCCATCTATAAATTCACCCACCTCTTCTACATTTTTGATCTCACTCCAAAACAAAAACTCACTTCACTCCACAAACTAACTAAACTCACATCTTCAAGAGAATAAGAAAATGGACAAGAATAGCGGAAAATCTTGAAATGTAGCACAAACCGGTGGCAATGGGTCTGGTTCGGGAAATATGGTGGCGGCGGGGACTGGAGGTGCGGTTCAGATACCTCGAGATGCTTTTGAAGCAAACACAAAGGGTTATTTTGACAACCTTCATGCCAAGGGCAAGGCAAATAAGTGAAAATTGTTCCATAAGAGTAAAACGCATAAGCACCTTGTTTTGTTTATGCTTCCCTATAATGAGATTCTCCTATGGTGATCTATTATCTAAATAAAATGAGTTATTTCTCTACGTTATTCTCTTATGGTTCCATAATTTATGGGGTGCAAATGCATTCTGTTATGCTACCGTTAATCCATCTTGGTCACTTGGCATTAGAATCTGCAAGTTATTCGATTGTATGACTTGTTCTTTCTTAAATGCAAATCAGTAAGGAATAAATTGTTTAGCCATCACTTACGGCGTGAAGAAAACCCTAGTCTCATCTGTTCAACAAGTTTTGTGTTTTGTGGACAGAGTGATCTTTGTCGAGATGTTCTGCTTTCCCAACCGTATGGGCTAAACGAGGAAAGCTATTGATAAAGCAATACTTAGATAAATTTCAAATTAGATTCTTAGTCCAATCTCAACTCGCTAGTCGAATATATATTTCAAATTAGATAAATTATATAAAGATGTCCAATTCACAAAATTGTTATATTTTGCAAGAGATACTAAAATACAATACAGATAAATAAAACAGTCCAAACATCTATCTTCTACCGTTCTACGTTTACAAGATTCACATCTAATACTTATGAGAAAATTGTCTGGCAAAATTACTTAACGCAAACTGCTTATAGATCAAATTATTTCATGGAATGTCAACGGTTCCTAATTCATTCTAATTTTGATGGGGAAGGCATAATATTTTTCTCTCGAAAATTTCTCAGTTGTCGGGAAAAAAAATAGTAGATATTGGATATTTGAGAATCTGATACGTATATGTGTTCCCTGAAAATTAAATTAATATAGATACTGGAGTATTGAAAGTTGAAGTCGATTGTCTCTGACTATGAGTTGACCACGGAGAGGCAAAAAAAAGTGAAGAAATTTATGTTGAAAATTGAAATACGTATATACAATTTTCGAAAACATTTTAATCTCCCTTGTAGCTTTCCAAGACAGTCTCGTACCCGTTTCCAGTTCAATTTCTCTTGCAAATTTAACTTAAAAAAAATGCTTTTCACGATACCAAAATGGTGTTAATCTTGGGATAGTTTGACTACTTTGAACAAATCCCATCTATAAATTCCCCCACCTCTCAATTACATTTGTTATCACTACAAAACCAAAAAATCTCATTTTACTCTCATATTAACCAATCTCACATTTCACGAGATAGAAGAGAAAATGGACAAGAAAGACGTAGGCGCCAAAGCTGGCTCTGTGGCACAGAGCACCGGTTCAAGCAGTGCCAATGCTTCTGGTTCAGGCAATATGGTTGCACCTGGTTCTGGTGGTTCTGCTAATATCCCTAGGGATGCTTTTGAGGCCAACACTAAGGCTTATTTTGACAATCTCCATGCCAAGGAGAAGGCAAATAAGTGAAAATTTGTTTTACTAGTTAATAAAGTGTAAACACTTCTTTGTTTATGCTCCTATGATGAATCAGTATCGTTAAATAAATGAGATTTACCTCTCGTTTTATGGTTCATGTTCAGTCTTTATTTGCTTCTTTTTACTTTTCCTTACGTCGAGTTACGAAGTATTCCCTATCAGCAACAATCAACCTATACATGTTAATTAATTATATTAAAACAGAAGTTTCCAACTTTTTTATAATGAACTGGTTTTTTGTCACTTAATGAACTGATTAGATACCCAAACTGGAAATTTAGAGAATGGAACTTTATTTTGTTTATTTACATCACAAAATATGGGTGAATGGTTGAAACCAAACCAAATTAAGCAAAAGCAAAACATTAAATAATGCTAAAACTTAAAAGTGAGAATATCAATCTAATTCGATTCCGGTTTGCTACCTATTCTCCCATCAAGCTTCCTGAGTTTGTTTGCCTTCTTTCATGTTTATAAAATACAATGACCCTCTCTAAACATCAATACTATACCGGCAAAATGACATTTTTAATTTGCAGAAATGGTTCAACACTTTGATATTACCCATAAGAGAATATGCTGCTCCACCTCTTCCCAATTATGAACTCTAGTCACCAAAGGATGTCTATCCACAGATTCAGATTTAGACCACGGGTATGAATCTATCTCGGGTTATGATAGAATTTGGAAAACTTCATCTCTTTCTCATCTCGGTGGAACTCATTTCGAGTGCGAACTTTACATTTGTTAGACAAATAACATCATATAAAGAATCTCCTTATTTTCTTAAATTTGGTAAACTTTACTTCTGGGATGCTAGAGATGATGGGATCTATTTTAAAGGGGAAGGCCAAGAGCCCTTCAAAAAATATGGATGGTAAAATTTTTGTTTGTAAGTCATATTTATTTTTCTTCTTGATATCAATAGATTTCAAGATATAAATCATATGAAAAAAAATATTTAATACTTGACCACGTTTGTACTTTTCAAAATTATAATTAAGAAAATACAAATAAATGTGGTATGACCACCACTACAAGAAAACATATCAAAATACCACAGAAATACCCGTTATAAATTGGTGGGAAATGAATGTTACCAACCATTTTCTAACGAAATAAAAGTGGTGGAAAATCGTTCATTGCAAATTGAAAATAGTCGGAAGGCGGTGGGAAATTCTCTACCAAAATATTGGTCGAAAATACGGTCGGAAATATTCGTTGACAATTGATGGGAAAATAATCCATTGATTTCCACCGAATTCCAACGGAATAGATAAATTTAATTAAAAAATATAAAAAAGGAAAATACAGCAAAACTAAAAAAAATACAGAGAAATAATAGAAATTAAAATAAATTAAAAATTAAAAATATAAAATATTAAAATTTGTGCTTTTTAGGTAATGTTCCGGTGATGAGTCGTGTTTGTGCTCTTTTGGTGGTTCTGTAAAAAATGTACACACTAGCTTTATTTAACACAGAAGGGAAATTTTCAATATAATCTTATAAACAACACAATTTATTGGTTAAATCCCATATAATCTACCCCTAAACCAAACAAAATGACAATAAATTAACAAAGCTAACCTTCCGAAAGATCACGACAAATGGAAGTGGCACATACAAATGGGAAAAGATAAGGAAGAAAAAGAAGAGAAGATGATGTCTAAAAAAAAAAGAAAACGAAAGAAATCGAGAAGGAGGAGGAAAGGAACCACACCAAACAATTAGAGAGGAGTAACTGGAGATGAGCGGACGGACAAGTGGTGTAGATCAGCGGTGTTTCGTCGTTGGAGAAGAGATGGTCCATTAATGAGGCGGCTGGGGGTTATAAGGATAAACAATTTCAGATCTAGGTTTAATAAACTGTGGTGGTCGGAAATGGGTTGGAAATTAATGGCAAATTTGCCACCGATTTTCGAAGAAAATTATTAGTATTTAAAATATCAATATCGGCGGGAAATTGGTGGAAAATTTTCCAAAGAAAAAATCAATGGTAAATTTGCGATTGATTTTTTTACGAAAATCCTATGTAAAAACTGACGAATTTATTTTAATGGGTAATCGGTCACAAATTTCCCACCAAATTTCAATTAATATATTCGGTTGCAAATAAGCAACAATTTTTCCACCAAATCACTAAATCGTGGTATTTTGGCTGGAAAACGGTTGATTATTTTTTCAACCAAAATTTTGGTGGAAAATTTGGTTGTAATATAACATGTTTTCTTGTAGTAGTGCACTTCCAAGTTCATAAAACACCGTATAAGCAATTCAATTTTTTTTAGTACCCGTAAAATTGCTATTAAACGAGATTTCTTATTTAGAACAAATTTGAATTATGTCCAATAAACAAAAGATCCCTCTAAGATTTTAGGTTCGAGTAGCATGGATGTTTAATCATTACGAATTATGTAGATGTCAGTGCTGCGTCTCCTCCATTAAGAGTTTATGTTTACAATATGCGTCTTTAACTATAAATATGGGCTATGTTTATGTTTGTCTTTGATTTCATTGACTCTCTCTCTCTCTTCTCTGTGCCTTGCTCGAGCTTCGAACACGTCTCGTGTAGCATTCGTGTAGCATTTGTTTAACTATAAATATGGGCTATGTTTATGTTTAGAGTATGTTACTTCAAATCATTTGATAGGAAATATGGAGTGCATTTTTTTTCTTTAATGAATGTTAAATTTTATTCACACAAAACAAAACAACGTTTTTACATCTAGGATGCAGCGTTTTTTTTTTTTAAAAAAAAAATCAAATACACATCAAAAACCAATAATAATTAAGGAGAAGGATTCGTCAAACGTACTTATACAAATGTTCTGCCTTTAGTTTGTACAATATGGTATATGGAAAGCATTTAATATAAGACCATAGACATTTCCATTACAGAGAAGAACAGCCATGCATGCACCACGTGGTAATCCATGACATAATATAGGTTTATAGTAATTTGGTAATCTATTATACAACTTTTGATCACAATATATAGGCCACACTCGTGAATCACATATATGATCAATTAATAGGTTCGAATTTGTAATTTTGAGAATTATTCCATTTTGGGTGGTTAGCTAGATCGACAGATCGGTCACATGTGTTCACCATCTAGAAAATAGTGTGCATGCATAAATGACTTGTATATTGTGTTCAGCCTGCAAATTAACCAAGTTTAATATTTACTTTCAATATCATCTAAAACAAATATAGAAGACAGTAATAAACTAGTAACATTTAACAAATGCACGATTTAGGACCATTAACCAAGAAAATAAATTGTTTACCAAGAAAATAAACAAAACTAATAAATGATCCAATTGTGGGTGTAAGCTTAGGGTGGACGCAGAGCGGATATCCTGGATTTTGGGATATCCGTGATCCGCTCCGCTCCGTCCGGATAATCACTTTTTCGATCCATATCCGCCAAAAATTTCAATATTTTCCGGATATCCGCCAAAAATTTCAATATTTGCTGGATATTCGATCCGGTCCATAAAAATATTTAAATAGTAATATATTTAAAGTAAAAATTAAAAAAAATTCAAAATTTAGCTAAAAATGATAATATTTTCTTAAAAAAATATTTTTTCTTAACTTATTAAGTTTTAATATTTATAATAATCAAATTTATAAACAAAAATTCACAAAAATTACATATATATAATAATTATACACTTTGTATGAATTATTATCTATTTTTATATACATATATATTTATACCGGAGCGGAGCGGATATCCGTGTTAATTTTTTTTAGTATTTGTGATTTGCTCCGTTTTTAACGGATATTGAATTTTATTATTTGCTTTGCTCCATAAAATTACGGATATCCGGATTTTTCGGATCAAATCGAGACAAATAACAAATCGAATCAAATATAACAATATAACGGATATTTTGCCCCCTGAATGCTCCCACCAATAATTGGTTAGCCAGTAGTATACGACACCGTATAGCAAACTATCTCTCCGTTACGGTTACGCATTAACTTCCACAAGTCAAACGAATTTCCAAAAACAAAAAAAATCCTCAAAATTCCGATGGGCTCCGCCGGAAACCCCGCCGATATCGTAACCGACCCGGAACCAGGACCCGAGACTTCTCTTCTCCACAATCCTCACGGAGAATCAACCACCGGCAAAACCCCTTCCGATTCCTTCCACTTGGCTTACATCATCTACTTCACGCTCGGCGTTGGCTTTCTCCTCCCATGGAACGCTTTCATCACCGCCGTCGATTACTTCTCCTACCTCTACCCTTCCACCGCCGTAGATCGGATCTTCGCCGTTGTTTACATGCTCGTCGGACTTATCGGTCTTCTCGTTATCGTCGTGTTCTACGCGCACAAGAGCCTCGCTAGCTTCAGGATCAATCTCGGTCTGCTACTCTTCGTAATCGCTTTGCTTGTGGTTCCTGTTTTGGATCTGGTCTATATCAAGGGGCAAGTCGGTTTATACGCCGGATTCGATATCACTTCCGTCGCACTTGGGCTCTCCGGTGTCGCCGATGCTCTTATGCAGGGAGGTCTAATCGGCGTAGCTGGTGAAATGCCTGAGAGGTATACTCAAGCTATTATCGCCGGAACTGCTGGCTCCGGTAACCTTTTTCTTTTCTACCTTATTAGGAAAAATCAAAAATGCAGAATCGATGTTGTTGGAATAACTTAGGTTTTTGTAGGTGTTCTTGTTTCACTATTGAGGATCTTGACTAAAGCTGTGTATCCTCAAGATCCTGATGGGTTAAGAAAAAGTGCGAATCTTTACTTTGCTGTGGGAATTGTTGTGATGGTGATCTGTGCTGTGTCCTACAACGTAGCGCATAGACTTCCCGTGATCAAGTACTATGAAGAGCGCAAGGCTCAAGCACTGCTCAAAGAGAGTCAAGATAAAGGTTCTTTGACCGGACCGGCGTGGAGGAAAACACTCTGGCAGATCGTGACGAGAGTTAAGTCTCATGGTTTCGGGATCGTTCTCATATACATTGTCACGTTGTCGATATTCCCTGGCTACATTACCGAGGATGTTCATTCTGAGCTTCTCAAAGATTGGTTCCCTGTTCTACTTATCGCAGCCTTCAACGTGTTTGACTTGGTTGGGAAGTCTTTGACCGCTGTTTTCATGCTTGGAGATGAGAAAATCGCTGTTGGTGGTTGCATTGCTAGGCTATTGTTTTACCCTCTCTTCTGGGGTTGCTTGCACGGTCCAATGTTTCTAAGGACCGAGATTCCTGTAGCTATACTGACATGCTTATTGGGACTCACTAATGGGTACTTGACAAGCGTCCTGATGATTCTGACTCCAAAATCTGTTCCACTGCAACACTCTGAGACAGCAGGTATCGTCAGTGTGCTGTTCTTGGTTATTGGTTTGGCTTCTGGGTCTGTCTTGGCTTGGTTTTGGGTCATCTGATTCTGCCAAAGCTTGTTATCTGTATTTGTATTCTTTGAGCTTGTACAAACTCAGCTTCATCGATTTGTGAATCATTTGTTTTTTACTTCTTATTATACCTTTTTCACACCAAGAACACAATAGACTTTTAGCTGAAGTATAGCTAAGGTCAAGTGTAATATGGTTCAAGGATTCTTCAATTTGATTCTGAGCTTTCTAGTGATCTTCGATGCTTTTGGATGGACTAATCTGTCTCTTTTTTGCTATCAGACCCTTTGTCTTCAATGCCTGAAGGGCAATTTTCTGAGCCGTCTCCTGAAACTGAGTTGCTTCCTGTCACCAAATTAACACCGAAGAAGATTGAGTAATTGAGCCTCAAGAAAGATGTAACTTCAATCAACTTGCTGAGCCACAAGTTCGAAACCCCGATCAAAGCTATCAAGTTTGAATCACCGTGCTTAGTGTGTTGAGCCTTCCTGGTAGATTAGTATCTTTAAGGGTTTGGTCGTCTTCTTTGATGTGGACGATGGAACCTCTCCTTCAGCCTCTGCAAAAGCTGCAATCAAGAAACAAGCTCTGTCTTGAACAAACCATTATCTACAGTGTACGATCAATACATATGATCAAAGCAACGAAGAACACACAAATGTTCCTACAGAGGATTTGAACAGGGTAAGAACAGAAGCTGATGCATTGTTCCTTTTCGATTCTCTATCACAGACACTTCTACTTCTCGGAAACTTTGAAGCCGACGGAACAGCACAACTTTCCTCAGCATCGCCGGACTCTCTACTGAAAAAACACAGCAGCACTTAGCATGTGTTAGAAATATTAATAATTTTTCTCTCCTACTATCTCTATTACCAAACACTATACTGTAATTCTATAATCGTTTTTTAATTTGAACTTTCCGAAAGCAAATATTCACTTTTTTTTTAATCTCTTGTTTTTTGTTTTCATTTATTTAATTTTACTATACCTATATTGTCAAACATTGATCAGCACCATAATATTTTCAGCTTTTTTCTCAAATAATAATAATATAAACTATCTTGAGTAACAAATGAGATTGACACCAGCAACATTCATGAACTATGCCAAAAATTAATCAATTTGGTTACTCGAGAATCACACATCTCAAGTAGAACAAGTCATGATCCTAAGTTTTTCATACTACATATTGTGTTGCCGAAATTTCTCTTAATCACTTTTTTTGTTTTGTTTTTTCTTAGGCTTTATTTTGATAACAAAATTGTGTGGAGCAACAACCAAACAAAACTCAAATACAAAACCCCTCATGTGAAATCTAAAACTTGTGGGGTTTTTTTTGCAATTATTGCTTTTTTTTTTCTCAAAGAGCATGTTTATCATCATCTCACACGCTAGAGACAGATAGAGAACATGATTCCTCCTGAACTCTATTTTTGTCCACCATGGAAACAGAGCTTGTCGATGGCAGTGACGAAGCGTTTGACATCCTCATGAAAATCTTCATTTCTTATTTCGGCGAACTACGTTCCTCCACGAATATTTACATGCAACAAATCGATCCAGAAAGCCTAACGATGAAGTTGTGTAGTATGAGGAACCAAATTCTTCTGGTAAAGGATTGAGGCAAAGATTGAAGCAAAGATTAACTAGTTCTAGTAAATGAAGCTTCCATCATATGTTTCTACCTCTAATATTGCATTTGGATGTTTACTGAAAATTGTTGTGACAATCAGATTATATTTATACGTAAAATTATAAAGGTCAGGATAGTTTATTGAAATAATAAAATCTTAAGCAAAATAAACAGTTTATTTCCGGGCAGAAAAGTTTAAGTAATCAAAACAAAGTATAAACATTCGAAGAGAGCAAGGATTTGTGTTTTTTTGTACTTCAAACTTCTCAAACCTCTCAGAAAAACTGCAAAATGCATTTGGAATAAAACACGTTTCTTGGAATATGACAATTAATAATCTCACATGTAACTTGAGCTTGACAATGGAGTTTGGGGAATGATAATGATTTGTGAGAACAAATCTGACCAGGCGAGAGAATTTTTTTTGGTTGGGTTTTCACTTTTCCTTTTTCAAATCGAAACCGGATATGGAGACTAACCGGACCAGATTACAAATTTGGTACATTGGAATCGGCTGAAGGCAGTCTTAATAATTTTGGTGACCTTAAACAAAATACAAAACACATAACAAAAATTCAAGTACTAAATGTAAATGTATTAAATGATTATGCGCTGATGTATTTGTATATGTTTTTAGTATCATTCGTACATGGATTGTACTGTTTTTTTTCTAGATCAATTTTAAGCATATATATGATTTACATTTCAACATTTTCTTATCCAAATTAGAAACTAAAATGCTCTTTCATATCAATAGTTCCTTATACAAATAGAAAAATCTCAATGATAAACAATTTCTCAGTATGTGTTTATGTCTCTTTCTAAATTTTTCAAAATAATGTTTATGATAATCAGGATTGTAGGAGGCTATAGCAAAAATTAATACAGACGAAAGAAAAATATATTTTGTGGACTGAGTATTTTTTTTTTTTGGGTCTGAGTAAAATTAGTTTATCAAAACATTGTGTGAAAATTAATGATGTCTAAAAAAAGAAGTTCATGTGTATTAATGATTTTTCATATTAGATGTCAGCTATAATAATTCATATAACTACACCAAAAAGTAACACATGCATGTTGACATAAACGACAACAAAAAAATACATAGCTAACATCACAACTATTTATTTTGTCATTAAATAAACAATTAGGAAAAAAAATTTGACACAAATTGAAAAGAAAACAATCCGCCCCAATTATTACCTAACCCGAAACAAATTAAGAGAAATCAAAATTGATCCGACAAAACACAATTCAACCAACATTCCACCTGAAACTAATTAAAAGTCATATGATAATTCGACCTGCGAAAGAGAACAAACATATATAACGAAAAAGGACAAAAAATGAAAATAGTTTATCAGTTTTAAGAATAAGTAAATGGAATGAAAGTTATTAAACCTAATTCTTTTTTATTATTATTATTAAACCCAATTTCGAAATAAATCAAGGTTTTGAGTCGATTTTTTTAAAACGAATAAAAAACAAAGTTTAAGTTGAGTCGCGATTCAGTGAGGTACTTCATGATTGATGAGTTATAGGTTTATGTATATGTTATGGTTTTTGGGTTCGTGTTAGAGTTTCTTTGGGAATTAACGCATTATGATCATGCATTAGTAAATTAGAGAAGTGTTATTTAATCAATTTGAGAGATGTTATGTTGGGTTTGGTCGTTTAAAGGTTTCTAAATTTCGCTACAAAACTTTGTAAACTACTGGCAGATAAACTGCTCCATCGAATGCCTAACATTGTTTCGGTTAACATTATGATAATAATTGTGATCGTGTTTTTTTTTCAAATTAGGTCAAAAAATTATCTTATTTTATGTATTTTATGACAAAATGAAAAAAAATTAGTAGTATCTATGTATTTTAATTTTGGTGTATTTTACTTTGCACATATTACTTATTATTACATTATAACTCTTGTAGCTAGAAATTGTTTTTTCCTTTGAGGACCATTTAAATCTTATATGTTAACACATAGAAAAGAGTCTAGTATTATTATAGTATATTGATTACCAAAAATAAAATAAAATATATTGTAAATCTGTGATTTTTAGAATGCAAAATAAGTTTAGATAAACAGATAAACAGATCTAAGGGTTTGCTTTAAAAAAAAAAAAATAGATCATGTGCCTTTTTTATCAAGTTTTGAAACATAAATTAAAAAAAGGGTGTTGGACCCAGGGCGGTCGCTCCCTTAGCCATGGGTCAGAGCCGGGACTGCCAACCAGGAAATAAAACTTGCAGGCCATGTTATAGTGTCGTTGCAAATCCTGCAAATATCAAACGCAAAAGTAAACATTGGTTTCTCAGTGAGCAAAATTGACCAACAGCTCTGGATAATCTGGTCTACTGGTTCAATACAACTTAGATATGAATCAACACATCATTTCAGGATAAGGGTAAAGGGAAGGTGATCGTCTGGAAAGACAATGATAGGCCTCACATTGGATCCATAGTATGATAAAGAACAACTTACTCCAACTCAATACCACTAGCCACTTTAAATTTGGTAAAACTAAAAACAAAGCCCAGCCACTTTGATATAACTTATATTAGCATGTCAAGCAGATCACTTATGGAATCTTATTTACAAACTGAGAAATACATCTACTTCTAGTATGGAAACAGAATGCAGCTACATTTCTAAACATACATCAGCGATTAATTCGACTTTTCCTCGTTCTCAATCATAAAGAGCTGTAAAATCAAACTTATTGGACCAGAGGCTAATAAAACAGTTTGGTGCATACAAAGCATGAAATCAAAAGATTAAGAAGAAAAGTAAATACCTTCTGATAAGCAACCCCAGCTTTGATTGCTAAGAGATAGCAATGAAGTGAGCAAAGCTGAAGCAGTGACACTATGTAAAGGTATAAGTGATATCCCTACACTCATCTCCACAGGGATCCTGAACACAGCCAAATCATACATTTCTCATCAATTCATATCATTTCGTGCGAAAAGGGAATAATTTATGCAGAGAAAAGCCCTAATTGCATAATAATCAACTACCTCGCCATTGAAAACGGATCTATCGCCTATACAGAGAAAATCTCCTAAGAATAAAGGTTTTAAGAAACTCAGTCTCTAGGATTCCGAAGCTTAACCTGGAGATTATGAGTCTGCGAAGTGAGGAGCGAGACGAAGCAGATGATTCATTCGCGAAAGATATTCCCGCGGATTTCCCGACCTTTGAAGCGGAAGATGCCGCTGATGAACGACCGAAGAGTATTTTCCCGGAAGATGACGATAACTGAAGAGCCCTTCTCACGCCGTTGGCCGCCATGTTTAATCTCTCTCGCGGCTCTCAAAAACTTCGGCGACGACGATTTGTGAATTTTGCGAAGGTTTAAGCTCGGGTCGGGTCGGATCTCGAAATTGGTTTGATGCATCACAAGCCTAATTCGGCCCATAATACAGACCAAATATTACGAACCGGACTGGCTTTCTTTCTACTGAGATCTGGCTTTGGAAACCAATCGGTTATCATCTCGTTCGACCGGGAATCAATAACCCGTTAGCATCTGGCCTTCTATTTTTATCAGTTGCTTGTCACTCTCGAATCTTGAATCTTTTTTTTTTTTTGGTAAAAGGTTAATCTTGTCAGTAATAACATTTGAATTAAAACTTGAACCTTTTGTATTCAAAATCTTGCAAATAGACATGTTTAGTTTTATCGTGTAGAGCATTTGAAACTTATAATATACTTATTCGTTTAATGGAACTTGCAAAAGAGTTATTGTCCTATAGAAACTGAGTGCATGGAAACTAGAATGGTAATAGATAATGGATTGATGATTTGATGAAAGTATGAAACAGAGTGAAAGTTCACATGGGAATTGGCATTTAGTCTTTGATTATCTCAACCAACCAAAAACAGAATTTAACACATTTAGTAAAGAGAGAGATATCCAAAATGAATGAAGTGAAAACTCTGCAAAAGGACAACACACAGAAACTATATTGAAGTTGAGTTTGATCACACAACACTTAATGCATTTGTAGGCCTCATAGATATTTCACGGTTTTAATGTCATATAAAAACACCATTTCTCTTGCCAATAATGGATTTGGACTAAGTTAGTTGAAACAGGTAGACTTCAATAGAGAGAGAGATGGGTGGGTCTCTGATCACACGCAGAGGTCAAACTCTTTTACTATCTTCTCTCTGATACATTGTCATAACATCTTTGACAAAACCGTGAACTTGTAAATACGTATCACGTTAACCAAACGAAGATACGTTATTGTGTTCTTTGTGATTTCATAACACAACCTCGTTTCTATTATTGAGTCCCACCTCACTGGCCGCTCTTTCGGATTCGTACAATGATACATTATTATATTCACCTTTTTTGTAATGAAAACCACGTGATCGGTGTAAATTTTTTAAAAATAATTATATATAAATCCTTCTATGGTGCAGGATTTAAGGGGGAAAAGCAACCAAAACATAATAATAAACCAAATAGTTCAGTCGGTAATTGAAAGTGATGGATTGTTTGTTCCATTTTAATGCACGCATAATTTTATTTTTATTTTTTTGCATATACGCTTGGAGATTCGAAAAGAAAAGAAAATAATTCTATGTTATGATTTAAATTATGAGTTAGGTGACATTTGTCTGCTTTATTTATGTACTAAATAAAGCCGAGATAAAGAGAAAAGAAAGCAAATAGTGGAAGTCAAAAAAGAAAGGTGAAAGAAAGCAAAGCAACTAATTAATTAAAGAGTATCTGTTTCAACAAATGATGATAATGCAAATGCAATTTTTGCTCCATAATCAGGGAGAAAATTATGTTGACCACATGCTGATTTGTCTTTGACACTTTGTTTACGTCGGAAGTTAAACTACCTCTGATAATGACATAGTTAAATCGAAATAAGGTTTAACTGCAAATAGGATTCAGATTCACTCAAATTTATGACACATGTTTATGTTAGGGACTTAGAGTCAATGGTTTCTACATAAACTCTAGAAGTTTGGTGTGTTTTGTTTCTGCGGGATATCATGTAATTAAATACAAGCTGTTCTATATTTGGAAACTTGTGGACTTTTGGCATATAGTTTACACATACTTGAAACCAGCTATTGACAATAAGTAAGATCGGACTTACACAAATTTAAAAATCAGCTCTTAATGAACTTTTTGCTAACGCGTGAATTATTCATTCCTAATACTAAGACAATAGAATATACAATATTCCTTAGAATATAAAACAAATTCATATTAATAATCCATGTAGCCGAAGAAAAAGAAGATGAACATGATATATATGATTAACTCAAATAAGATAAACTGGTAGCTTTTTTTTTGTGCAAACTGATCCGATCATCTGTTAGTTCGACGTCATTGAATACGATTATACGAAAGAACATGATCTAAATACGTGTTTTTTTTTTGGTGCGCAAATTTCATGTGATTGTAATGCTTTTGCCTCTGTTTGCAACAACGACGAGAGTCTATGGAAAAACGCTTCAAAGTTAGAAATACTTTTTTTTATTCTTTGCAGACCCCTGTTACCAAATTAAGAATATATTGTCAAATCTATGAAATCAAATCAATTATAACTTGATAAGCATTCAGTAGTTGCCTTTTTACACCCGCAAACACACAACTAAATGTTTTTAAACTCTCACGGATTCACTAATTCAAGTACTCAAACAAATTAATCTCACGAGACATACAAAAAAAATGATAATACTACACGTAATGTCGGCTCCCGAAAACTCCCAACAAAATAAAAACAAAACAAACACGCAAAATTTCATATAAAAATATGTTCGAAGCAGCCATAGCGCCAAGTGTGTTACCTTCATTACGCATTTGTCCCATTGATATATTAGCTTACCTCGTGACTCTCCTTTTCTCCATATCTTTTAATATTTTTTCATAAAATATTTTTTTTTAAATGTTTATAAAAAAAAATTGGGTGGCACATAAAGTCCACCTCATCTTTCTACACGCCTACATCCTGTGGACATATATAACTCAGCACATGTATTGAAACACCATCGCTGTCTCCATCTTCTTATATTATATATGTACACATGATATATCCATATCATTTCATAATCCCTTCACTTATAGATAAAAATAAATATCTCAATCAGCCAATCCAACCAACCAGCCATAATCATAAATTGCATCAACAGACATTCACTTGAAAAATACTATCTTTTTTTTTTAAAAAAAATTATTCGTACCGCCACAAACAAATCAGTAACAAGCCTTTACTGTGTTACTGAAAAAACTTTTTAACATACAACAATAGTAGAAAATTAACATTCATTTTCCTCTATTTAAATCTCGGCGATAAGATAATATTTAAATTAAGAAAGAGAAAAATCCATCATACGCAGATCGAACCACCGATCTATCGGGCGCGGATTTTTTGTAACTTAATCGGCGATAGCCCAGTTCATATCGTTCTCAAATATCCAGTGACAGACTTCGATCCGACCCGGTTTTGACCCGAGAGCTAAGAAAGCTCCGTGGGTCGGACCCCATGATGACGTGTCCATGTGACAGATGGCGATCCCGTGGTTGATCTTGGTCTTACTGTTCAACTCAAGAAGGTCAGCTTCGTAGACCCGAACCTTCGGGACCGAGTGGCAGTAATACAATAGGTACGGGTACAAGCTCTGGTGACACGAAACCGCTTTCGTCAATTTCCCACCGTTGATTCCGTTGACTTTTCCGATCACGACCTTCTGCTTTGACCCGGCCACGTTCTCCGTCGTCCGGAGCACCACGCTTCGTCCGAGCACCGACGTGGCGAAATCGATCATATCCTCCGCCGATCCGACGCAGCGTTTCGTCTCTCCGACGCTCGCTGGCCTCTCGCACTCCTTCACCGCGTCGGAGATTATGTTCTCCATCGTCGAGTTATCTCCGGCGTGGAAGATCCTCTTGATCTCTCCGATTTTGGAGGTGGAGAAGGGTAATTTCGAGATGATGCTCCGGGGCAAAAACGACCTTTTAGGCATTTTATCCCTAATGTCAGGCATAGGAATCACTGTTCCTTCTTTAAGCGTCGATTCCCTAAAGAACTTACCCGGCTCAATCCACTTATTCACGGTTTTGCCATCGCCGACGGTGGCGGCTGAAAACGAAGAGACGTTGTATTTGGAGAATCCGACGCCGTTTTTGGCGTAATCCTTGAAGGTGGAGTTTGGTGTGTAGGTTTTGAATCCGATTTTGTGTCCTTCAGCTCCTTTACCATAACCGGTGAAACTTTCCGATCCGGGATTGAAAGATTGGCCGTAATTTACGAAATTGACCTTCCCCGAGTTCGAGTCTTTAGCGTAGGAGGAGAACGAATCGTCTCCTACGTTCGCCTTGTCTCTGTAATTCGAGAACGTGTCGACGGCGGCGTTACCGGAGGCGCCGTAGTTTTTGAAGTTGTTCTGAGGCACATTACCGTCGTTTCCGTAATTCGTGAAGGAATCGTTCGCGGCGTTTCCCTTCTCGCCGTAATTCGAGAAACCGGAGCCGATCACGTTGGCGGAGACGCCGTAGGAGGAAAACGAGTTCGGTAACCCGTTTCCGTTTTTGCCGTAGCTCGTGAACGATTGGCCGTTTCCGGCGTTAGCCTCGTGCGTGTAGGAATTAAACGATTGTGACCGGCCGTTTCCGCCGTCGGAATACGCCGTGAATCTGCTCGTCGGATTGTTGACTCCGTTTTGGTAGTTGGTGAACTCTCCGGCGCCTCCGGTTCCGAAGGTCCCGTAGGAATTGAAGTTTTCCTCGACGACGTTGCTGTTATCGGAGTAAACGGTGAATTTATCGTCGTGACCCGCCGCGCCACGGCTGTATCGCCGGAACGAATCGGTGACGACGTTGCCGTCTTTGGAGTAGGTTTTGAACGAGTCGGCGCCGCCGGCGCGGGCATTGCCGTAGTTGGTGAAGTTTTTCTGGTTGTAGACGGAGAACTTGACGTCGTCGTCGTGTTTGTTGAGGCTCGGGGTTAAATCCGGGAAACAGAAGAGATTAGCGGCGGAGCAAAAATCAGGGAGACGAGTCGGGAGCGAGTTTTGGGCGGCGAGTTTTGCGAAAGTGGCTGAGTCGACGGCGTTGAGCGGAGACGCTTTGGAGATTAGAAACTCCGATCTGAGAGATTTGTCGCTGCGGATCTCTTTGTTCCAGTAACGAACCAGAGATGCTTTTGGAGTGAATGGATTCTCCTCCGCCGAGAAACCGCCGCCGATTAACCGTCCTCCGACGAGAACAACCTGCATTGCCCCCACCAAAAAAAAATTCCCATTGATTTAACAAAACCAAACCAAAATCTAGAAACCGCAAGTTCATCAATCGACTAA